AAAAATATCCACAGAGAGAGTTGTAACAGAGTTCAAGCTATTGAAAGTAACAATGAACAAGTTGCTGTAAGTAAATGTGATTTAAATATAAAATATTGATTATTTATAACTATATTATGCAGATATTAACCGCTATAATTTTTTTAGGATACAAATGTAACTTTATCTGACGATACAAGTGATGCTGTCCATACTGACACTAGTGACACAAATACACAATGTTCACATGAACATTCAGTTTCAGCTAAAAGAAGCTTCCAACCTTCAATCCAGCATAGTTTTCAGTATGTTTCATCAATGGGAGGTAACTATAATTTGATCCCTACAATATATGCTACTTGAAAATATAATATGATACAAAAAAACTGTTAATCTTTTCATGTTATTAGGTAAAGGAAACAAAAATAATGAATTAACAGAGGCATTATTATATTATATATGCAAAGATAATGCACCATTTTCAACCGTTGATGGTAGTGGCTTCAAATATTTTTTAAAAATTGCTTGTCCATTGTACCAAATTCCTTCCAGAAATACTATTAAAAATAAATTGGATATAAAGTATAATTATTTAAGTGCAAAATTCAAATTAAAATTAAAAGAAAACATAAATTTTACATTGACATCTGACATATGGACTGATATCCAAATGAAGAGTTATATTGGTGTAACGATACATTTTTTAGAAGGCAACAAATTTGTGTCAGGTATTATTTCATTTAAATATTATTTCAAAAATTGTTTTTTTCTTTAAATTGGATAATTTTTAGGTACATTAGGCGTCTATGAACTTGATGATACTCATACATCAGAAAATATTAGTGAGAAATTTGAAGAGATATTATTAAAATGGGAAATCACRAAGGACCAGATTATTGCAATAGTGACTGACAATGGTATAATTAATTTAAATTTGTTTTATTCTATTATTTTCATTRTATAATATGTGATATTAATAGGGGCTAATATCAAAAAAGCAGCATGTAACACATTTAGCAGACCGAAGTTCATTCCATGTTTTGCGCATACTATCAACCTGATCGCTAACAATGTTATTGAAAATTGCCCAAATTTAAKCAAACTTATTGAGAAGACAAGAGATATTGTGAAGTTTGTTAAAAACAGCGTTAATGTGAGTGACCAATTAAGAAAACGTCAACAAAATGATGGTTTGTAACTTCATTCATTGAGGTAATTATGTAATTTTAGATTTAATTTTCAACTTTCATTTTTAGGTATACCAGAAGGTAAAATTTTAAAAATGGTATTAGATGTAAAGACGCGGTGGAATAGCCTTTATTATATGTTGGAAAGATTTTTAATTCTTTACAAAATTGTGTCATCAATTTTATTAGAAAATCACAATTCACCTGATTTAATAACCCATAGTGAGCTAAACATTTTAAAAGAAATTAGAGATCTTATGCATCCGTTAGAGGACTTGACAAAAAAAATCTCTGGTGATAAATATGCCATAATAAGTACCATTTTACCACTTGTAAATTGTGTATATAGAGCAACAAGTAATTTTCAAACCACATCATCTATTGGTGTTGATCTCCAGAAGCTAATTATTTATGAATTGGACAAACGCTTCAAAGACTTGGAAATATTTAATGATTTTCCATTAGCAACCTTATTGGATCCAAGGTACCTGTATATATTAATTAATTRATTAATTAACTAAGTGAAATAATATTTATTTTGTTTTATTAATGTTAGATTTAAAAATCTTCATTTTAAAGATCCGATAAATTGCCAAAGAGCAATTGACAAAATTAAATCGATGCTTATTTCTAAAGAAAGTTTAACAAACCCAACGACTGAAACAATTAGTGACTTAGAGCAGCCTTCAACATCATCGGGTACTTTTGATTTATGGTCA